AAAAAAAAAAAAAAAAAAAAAAAAGAAAAAAAGGAAAAAGAAGAGAAAAAAAAGCAAAAAACGTTGCACGTCATTGGTGACATGCGTGGTATCAATCGTGGACGTATCCTTGGATGGGCCGACACTGGGATACAGGAACCCGACACACGCGTAATCGCGTAATCGCATAATCGTGGCGCGTGCTGAAGTTCGGGTTGCGGGAGCTTTGCGTACGTCTACATGGGTGCACGTGCGACGTTCAACGCGCTGAATCAACAACGATCGCGAATCACGGATCTAGCCGTGAATACGAACGGCAAACCCCTTGCCAACCGTTTTACGAGATAATTGTTCCGACGATCTCCGGTAATGTCATACCGTCAGATAACAAGCTACGGATAACGTTTAAATGGAAGAACGCCGATTTAAATCGTCAAGTCAGCGTTTTGAGGGCTGGTGTTAATCGGAGCGGTGAAAGGAAAATTTCGCCCGTAACGAAATTCATCTCGAGGCAATGTACTGATCGTGCGATGTTATTCCATCTTCTACGTTGCTATTTTAGCGGCAGTGATCTTCCAATACTTCTCACGCTATGAAGTACGATGTCTCTTTCTTTCCAAAGCAGGCTAGTAAAACACGAGATGAAAAGTCACAGCTAGTGGCGGAGAGGGAACGGGAGAAGGAAATTTCAAGCTGGAAGGCTGTTAAAGTACGTCTATCCTTGGATACCGAAGAGCCCAGCAGCGAACATACGGCGGCGAAAAAAGAGAGAGAGAGAGAGAGAGAGAGAGAGAGAAGAGGGAGAATGGATCCCTTTCTAGATAGATAGGTGCGGTCACTGTCATAGGAGGGTTGACAAAGGCTGACCAGGGGTAGAAACATTCAAATGGTAATCGGCGAGCGTCTAACATATACCGACCCTCCGACCCCGCTGCTCGCGCTTAAGGGGCTGCTCGCACCCCCTTGGCACACACCCTGCACATTCGCACCAGAATCAAACCAAATATTGGCAATATCATCCCCGGCGTTCTCTCTCTCTCTCGTCGCGATCTGCCTCCTACACTTCGCTGGGAAACGATGTCCATTTGAATGCACGATTCCATTACCGACGACGATATATCGGCCCGAGGATATTACGGGATTAGGATTTCAAGGGAAAGCCTGAAAGAACAACCGGCGAAACTCAGTCACGCCGAAGATACCGCGCGTTCACCGCAGTTTAACCATCCTGCTGATTGTGAAGCATTGCGTTGCACATACGTTACACGCGTTTGTCATTTAAATCGAGGCATTAATTCTCGAATCAAGGACCCACCCCTCTCCCCCTTATGGGGCCGCGCAACTAAATTTCGAGGTCACGGAAATGTTTGCAAAAATTGGAAAGTACGAATGTTTGGCTTTGTCTTTTTAAGAAGTGCTCGAACTGTTCTCGAATAAATTTTCTTTATGATTTATTATCAGCAGTCAGTTTCGATTGTTACTCCTAATTTATATACTTCTGTACTTAGGCTCGCGAAAATTATTGGGTAATGGAAGTCACTAAGCGATCGATTGAAATATTCACAATATAACACATGAAAATTCAAGTTAAATCAAATTTTGACGATGTTTTAGAATTTTGGGAAATGCTTAATTTTCCCAGTAGAACGAAACGAAGTTGAAATGGAAATAAACTACTTGAACGAAATGTCCGTGGGTAGCAGCGACAAACGTTTGCGAAACGTTGCACGTAATATTTGAAGGGTGCAAAGAATGTGCGGATCTCACGCCATACGACCGTAGAAACGAAAGAAATATTGATACAGCTTTGTCCGAAAACGTCCAAACAGAAAAGTACAAGCGGCACGCCCCTGGTTTTCATCCTTTCATGAATTCCAGAAAAAGGTACATTCTATGTAGGGTCACTGAATGCCAGGTAACATCGGCCATGCTGCATCACTATGACTCGTGGGGAATTCCGAAGCGTTGCTTCCTTTTTCGAACAGATCGAACACCGTCAAATTTTCATAAATTTTATTACATCAGTCCAGTTCGCTTCACTTCTGGACTGATATAAAGATGTCTACTTCTCAATTGTAGGAAATAAAACGTTGCGTAAAGAGTATTTTGAAACTATTAGTTAAGCGTTCAGATTAATTTTCAATTTTTTTCCTTGAGACATATTTTAAATTAAATATTTTCAGACGTGAACGCACGTAGAATGCAAGAAAGAAAGCAAAGCAACGAAATTGATTCTGAAATTGATGGTACGTACGCAGTGATTAATGTGCACAGTCAACGTGATTATGGTTGCAATAATGTACGAATAATGTACACAAGAATATTAACAAGTCAATATTACAGATTGCATGATGCAGCATAATTTGCACGCGGTGATTAACTTCTACAAATAGAACAAATCGCCTTTGTCGCACGGTCAATTTGCACGTTGCAGCAACCGGCAAGTTCAACTTGTATTTCGAGTACAGTTTTTTCAATAAATGTCGCGAGAAGCCTCTATACGATGAACCTTGGCAGAGAATTAGATCCTGGAGAAAAATAATCGTACCTTCGAGCTTTCGTGACCCTTCGCGTAGAATAAATGTCTTACACCCGGCGTGTCCAATTCGACGAAACCAATGGGGAGGATAGGACAGCAGTGCGACAGGTGGCCCGTGAAATCAGTGCACGAGTGTGTCGTTCCATCGAGCCTGCCGTTCGATACGGTTCATTAGGAAATTAACTGTATAATAATTAGAATAGGGGGTGCTGATGGGACACGTTAAACGGAGGTCCTTTTTCATTGCACGATCATCGACACACGAGCAAAAACTAAACGCGTGGACAAGGAATTTCACACGAGTATCTGTAACGCGGATGTTCGTGCATTTGCGAAAAATCTGAATGCTCATGATGCGTGAAGATACGTGCGAAATATTTCAAGTAATGGAGCTTGCTGTGATATTCAGAGAATGGAACAAGTCTCTACTTCGTTTCTATGATTATACTGCAACATAGATTATAACTATAATATATGTACTGTTTATTAAGATAATTTTTCTGGAAACTATTGCACGTAAATCTTCTCACCTCTTTAATGTTAATTATAAACAATAGTTGATTATAAATCACAAACATGGATCTAATTATAATTAACAAGTATACATCATTAACCACTTGCGCTGGCAACTGATTGCGGACCGTAACGAGCGACCAAACCATATATACATAATAATTCGTCGCTTTCTTTTTGATTTCGCCGGTATGACATCACTGGATAGAAATTATTGAGAAGTAATAATAAATTTATGATTTGCTTTGCCCGAGTCATACTTAAAACATACTTAAAACTGAGAAAATATTGCAATTTTGGCAATGTTGCAAATATTACAATCGCGTAAAGGTGAATAACTCTCTTTTCTCCCTCCTGTTGCGATAATTTTTAATTTCTAAACGCGTTTGCTTTCCTTCTAAAAAAAATTAACCGCGACTCGAGAGAAACGACAGTTTGGTTCACTCGATCGTGAAAGCAAAAAAAAAAAAAAAAACGTGAAGAGGCAAACGAAACGGAACGATCCAGCAACAAAAATGATCTTTCCCCGATGCGATCCCTTCGCGCGAAATATTTCCCGAGCGCGGGCGAAACGCTATGCGGTGCATGACCGTGCACGCTATTTGCATACCGATGATCGAGCACTCGAGAGAGAGAGGCGGTTGCACATTTTCGCGCGCGTTGCGCCGAGAGGCACAAGCTCCGGTTGGCTGGCAGAGGCGGAGAGTCGTCGGTGTATTTTAGCATTTCACGTTTGTTTCCATTTAAATGGTAATCGAGTTCATAATGTAATTGTATTCACCGCGTAAGCCGGGTCTCACCACAGCGCTTCGTCCTGCCATTGTTCGCATTGTTCTCTCCTCGCAGCGCGAACAATTCGCGTGTGCGCGCGCGTCCGTCCACCCGCTCGTTCGTTCGTTCGTTCATTCGTTCGTTCGTTCGTTCGTTCATTCGTTCGTTCGTTCGTTCGTTCGCCACCTCGCTCCGGCCTTTCACAACCTCGCGTTTCGCCGAAATCTAAACCCCTCGCACGCTCTGCCGCAGTTTAGCGGAGAGGTGATATTTCCCCGCGATACAACCAGCCAGTTTATGCGATACTGATGGATATCGGTGTAGAACGCGTCCCGATACCTCCAATCGGACGCACAGCATGGAAAGTCGATGTGTCACGCGTTCGATACCACCAGGACACCATGCTTTCGCGTTTATTTTAACTGAAGCGTTCGCTCTCCTTTCTTCTTTTTTTTCCTCTCCTCTTTTTTCTTCTCTTTTCGCAAAAATGTTCGAATCATTCAGAGTTATACATACGTTATCTTTGTTTCACTTTCTTTGGATTTAATTTACGTGAAACGATCATTCGTTCAACGTTCACAAATTAGATGTGAACTTTAGATCTTGAATTCTGCTAACAAACCTCAAAACTAGATCCCAATCGTCGATACACCCCTGGCGTGCAGATTTTGCATTTCGGCCGGCGTGTTTCAACAAAATTCACCGCGAAATGTAAACCTGTGCATGTATGAGGTCCGCGTAAATCATAATGGATGGCCGTGGGTGAACGTCCACGTTCAGTAACGAAAAATTTTTACCCGAAAACGCATTGTTATACAGCTCACGGAAGAGTCGCAGAATCCGTAGAGGTGAAACGGAGAGAGAGAGAGAGAGAGAGAGAGAGAGAGAGAGAGAGAGAAAGAGGGGCAGAGCTATCACAAGCTTGAAACGAGCTATACGAAGGGGGTTGGCCGCGTTATTGTAACGCAGGGGATGCTGGCTGTGTGTACGTGTTAGCGGAGTTGGTTGCCTTTCTCTCATACATATTCATCAAACGCTAATTAATCATCGCCAGGCACACCCACTGCGAGCCACCCTCTTGGCAGCAGGCGAAGCCTGGTGAAAAAAAAAAAAAAAAAAAAAATACGATATCCGCAACGCAGACACCTCTATATATTACCGGGGCGCATCCAGATGTCGAAACCGGCGAGATTTTTAAATGGAATTGACAACATCGGGAACGATCGCGGTGAATAACAAAAATTTATCGTTGCCTGAAATTGCGCCTGTCTGGATTAACCGGGAAAATTACGAAGCGCCTAGATCACCGGAGACGGATATTTTTCCGACTCTGAGGCGCGAGTTCACGAGCTTTCAACGTTGTTTTCTTGCCGTGAGAAATTAGATAGACACGATTTAATAGTAGTGCGATGTATTAATGTAACGTTATATTGTGAATATAAAAATATGTTGCAAATAACGAAGTCGTAGTCTTTCTCAAATGTTTGACACTTTGTTTAAATATAAACTTATGAAACTTTTCGGCAAAGGAAACATTCAGTTATATTATATACGGTAAATCAAACTGCAGAGACACCGAGAGAATATCTGAATAACGAAAGCAACTCAACAAACCATAAAATAAACAAAAGACGGTGAAAAATATGAAAGAACAATTAACAGAGAATTGCTCTTGCCCTTTAAAGCACACAAAGATCTCACCTTCGTTTTGCAATTAAATGTTCACTCCATCGGGCACTAGTTTTTCCAAGAAATACATCTTTCGCGCCATTGACTTTATCCTGCCTCTTAAATACATCGTAAATAGGAAGTTGCTGCTGCTTGTGCAGAGGCAGTGGCGCGCGGACAATCAATCTAAATTGTAATTTCGTAATCCCATTAAGCAGCACGGCCACCTTCGTACGCACTTGCTACGGGTTCGGCTTTCACGCGGACGGGACGCGTATAATTAGGTATCGTTTATTTTACACCGAGGTACCGCAGCTAGGGTGACACTTCCACCGTATAATATATACGCCCGTGGGGTTCTAAGCGAGCATAGACGGTGGCCACGGCCTCGGTAGTCGCTCATAGAACGCTCCGCTGCTAATGTGATGCGATCATCGCCATCCACCTCTATCGCCCATTGATACCATACGACGCGAGGAATTCCCCTTCTTTTCAACCCACCGTAGCTATTTTCCAACGGTCGAATCCTCTGTTTCGTTTCTTAGATGGATGCGTTTTCCCGTCAAGGCTTAATAACTGAAATTTAACGAGTATAAGATCGTTTGATGTCTCAACAGTACTATTGCTAGTACATTCGTTTTACTCCTGAGACACTTTTAAATATGTATTTTCTTAAAAAATCCTTTTCATTCCATAGCACATCTGTTATTTTTTATGTGTCACTATATCATATTGCTGTATCGTGTCGCGATATCATAAAGTTACAGTCATTTTACCAAATATCTTAACTGTAACTGGGAGGGTATAATTTTTTAAAGAATGCTGGAACCCATGCTATTACAATTCGTTTCGTTCGCTGAATACTACAGCTCGTTCTGCGTAATTTTGCATCTTCTAAATTTCCGATAAATACGCGAACAATCGCGGTGTACTTAAACTTTTATCTTGATCGTAATCGAGAATTTCTCGACGTTAACGAAATCGCGTGAAAATCGCACGGATGTTTTGACTACCGGCCTCAAATCGCGACAATGGCAGATTGCCTGCTGACAAATGAGCGTCCCGCCACGGGATGCGATCCACGCACGAGACATATGGCCCTATAAAAAAAAAAGCGGCAGAGATACAAGAGATGGCCTGCAGTAACCATCCAGTCGATCCGATATTAATGGAGACCAAACACCGCACATTCTGTGTCGCCGCTGTCCCCGTTGTGTGTACACATTGGTGCGCCATTATGTCCCTGTTATAATGTGTATACACACCCCCTTTTGATACAATGGAATGATCTATGATCGTGCCAAACATGGATCGCCAAGTCAATTTTTTGCCCTTCTGCTATCTTTCTTTCCTATCAATGTACCAGCAACGCCTGAAACTTCCTTCGCTTCTATTTAGAACTTTTGAAGTCTCTCTCCCTCTCTCTCTCTCTCTCTCTCTTTTTCGTTTCTTCACGTTCATCTCTAATTAAATTAAAAGAGTAGAATTTTTAATTATGGCGAAATTGTTTGAAAAATACAATTGTAAAGTTACTCTGAAACTAGAAAGACTGTTCAAATAAAGAAGACACACAAAATTACAAACGAACAAACGAGAATATTAAAAACTGACGGCAGACATACATACGTCATTAACAGGTTCTAATTCGTCAATAAGAAAAAATATTGAACAGTTCCGATCTTACGCGGGTTACAAACTCGCTCACGAAAAATCTCCTCCACCAGGCTCGATTAAATATTAATCAAACACTCGAGGCGGAAAATGAATATTCTTCCTCGGCGCTTTTTAATGATTACGACACGGTTAAATTAGCCGAAATCGAGTCGACGCGACGGAACGATTTACGTTTCACGGTCGGAATCGAGTAATTCCGGCTTTCCTGAGCGTGCAAACAATAAAATTGGATTTAGCGACCCTCGTGGCACGTACGTGGCGTGCGACTCGAAGGGTGAGTTTTCGGAAGGTGGACAAGCACGCCGGTTCCGGGGGGTTGCAGCGAGATCAAAGACGCCCTCCGGCCAATTCCGTAGTTTCCACGTGACATATTAGCTAGAAATTGACGGCGACAGCCTCCAGCAACGACGTGCCTGCTCAACTTTGATCATTTCACCTGTGGGACTTATTTCCGCCCGTGAATATTATTATCGTGAATATTATTATTCGCCGCCCGTGATTACATTGCTACGTTCCACGATACAACGGGGAACAGTCGAACTTACCGAACTGTACTATTGTCATCACGTGACGATCGCGTTTCGGAAAACGAATAAATATGTAATGTCTAAAACTATAGAGCGATGATTTCTTAATAAAATCAGAATAGAAGAATTCATTTTTCATATTATTCCAGCTCGAATTAATTGACGAGAAAATTGATTGACTTAATATTCGTAGGCAAATTTTGAGAAAATTTATTGCTGATACGTTCTTGTCATTTTTGTTACTTTTGTTACACAAGTCTCAGCGTGTTTAACAATCACAATTATTAGGCATACTTATCAATTTCGAACATACAAAACAGGTTGTAAATCGTATTTTAATTCTAAATAGGTTTAATCATTTTGTTACAATAACTTGATTGATGAATACGTTCGAGTATACTATGTACAAAATTAATAATATGATTAATGCGTACCTCTTATGAAGGAAGAATATTTCACTTGTCAAATTGCAAGGTCCACAGTGAAGAACAATTGGTTAAATTGATAATAGCTGATAATCTTGTAGGAAATTAAGTCAATATGTAGTATTTGCCATGGATACTGAAGTGTTACTGAAATACTCATCATGCGTTGCCATTTTATAAACTTTCAGCGACATCTGTGAAAAAAGAAATATATTACAACAATGATTACATTAATATCTATAGTAGATAAATGGAATATTTCAAAATAAAATTATCTATTAATGTTACAGAATATAATATCGAAGGCAGAACGATAATTTACAATTGAAATAAATCTATCATACGATATATACTATTTCCAACGTTATCAACTATATAGAATAAGATTACAACACATCTGGTGGTTAAAAGTAAAACTAAATAACCATTCCTACCATGTGTCGACAATATTGGAAGTGATGGTACAAAAAGAAATGTATTGAAATTTATTTTCTACCACTGAAATTTCGAACTTATAACGCGTCTATGTTTAAAACAGTTCAAAATTTAGGATTTACTCATTTATTAATTTAAAAAATAGAGAGAAGTGCACATGTGTAAATTTACGTCTATTTAATATTATTTCTTTACAATCAAAATTTGCAACAATTAGATCTTTGTTTTGATCTTGAATTTTAAAGACTTCTTTAAGAAAATTTGAGAATTCATTTGATGGAAAATGCAAGCATAGATATATAAAATTTTCTAATCTATATGTATACAAATATCTAAAAATATCCTACATATTCTACTGTTATAGACTTCGTTAATAATCTTAAAATATTGATTGAATAAAAAAAATGTTTCCGCCCGGGATCGAACCGGGGACCTTCCGCGTGTTAGGCGGATGTGATAACCACTACACCACGGAAACCTTCCTAGAAAAGTGTATAAAATATTATTCAACGTGTAACATAAATCAACTTTTTTTTATACAAATAGAAAATGTATCTGAAAAAATTAATATATATAAAAAATAAAAAAAATTATTCAGAACATCAATTATATTTTATAATCTACGACAAATCGATGTCTCTTAAATATGATTGAATTATGACATTCTGATTTATAATTAGAGCATATGTTCAATCATTTTGAAAATTCAAAAATAAAATGTGTAATATAAAATTAAGTATTTTCGTACAAAATATCCAATTCTATGTTTGACATTGATTTCATCAACAATAATGTCACAACAAATTTAAACTTGCAAATTATACATAAAAATTATATTTATATATCGATAATCTACTCTAGACTCGATTTCTCGACCTTGAAATTAAAAGTTTTAACTTTTAATTTTAACTTGAAATTTTTAATTTTAAAGTGTGTAAAAAATATAAAATGTACTTATATGCTATAGCAAAAAACACTACTATGTTGATAATAAACGCGTATGTGATATTATTGTATCAATAAATAAATTTTATTTTTCAACACGAATGGCAAAGTGTGAAATGATAATGTGAACTTGAAGAAGTTAACATTGTGATAATTCATTTTTATCTCTATTTAAATGTTTGTTTTTTACTTTAACGAAAACTTAGAGGCTAAACTTGAAAATAGTCGTGTGAATTTAAAAATGTATATAGTACATTTTGCAGTTTTCAAGTGATTAAAGTTTAATAATTAATGTATCGATACGCATTAATAAAGTATCATTACAATCAATATATATGTAATATATGTGTAATAATGTAACTGTTATTTTATATGTATAATATTTATAACATTTAATTAGACATGTTAACCATTACTTTATTAATACAACAAAGTGAGTCAAATTTTACACAAAATTTATTATTTTTTATCAAAATTATATTTTAATCAAAATTATGATATGATTATGGAAGCAAGTACAAACATATTTCACTTCAAAATTGATAAATTATTAATGATAATTTACGATATCACAAGAGAATAATGATGAAACAAATTATTTTTACTTTTCATGTAATTGCAGAAAACAATAGGAAACGATAAAACCTTCTGATTTGTATATACTGCCATTTCACTATAAAGCAATGTCAAATACAGCAATCAATCAAAGTATTTTTTTTATCTAAAATTCACTTACGTATCCATTATCGATTTATCAATGCCATATATAATTATGATCTGATAATATCTTGTTGCATTGTAGAATATGGCTTTTTTACCATTTCACTCGATTATATATCAATTCCTATTGAAATTCCAACCAATTCCAATCAATTTGTAACTGGAGAAGTCATATATATAATTAGTAACGGTCTTCCTGTTTCTTATATACCAACAGATGACACCACAAACATTGTCCTTAACGTGAAGAAGTTACTTTTATCATTCGATTAAAAAGTAGGCATACATAATTTTGTTTCGATGAAATTTCAACGATGTCTCACATTTTAAGAATGCAACAGCATAAACCATTAAATTGTTTGCAATGAGTAAGAAAGGAGATTGACAGCTCTCACGTGACAGCATACCTTGTTTCTATTGGCTGCGCAGTGACATAGAAAGAGAGGGAATGAGAAAACGCATGAGTCAAAAAATGCGCGTAAGCATTGCAAACGGTCATTTGACAGTAGCGCCTAGTGGTCGATTGTTAAACGATTTGTCATTATTTTCTTCAACTACGTTGCAACGAAATTTGTTACAAGGGTAATTGCACGTCATCGTCAAATAGCATCGGGAAGAAGGAAGTAAGAAAGAAATAACTGTGGTTAAATCCTTAAGTATTCTGGTTAAATCCTTAATTAAGCTGGTAAATTAAGCAGCACAGATGAAGATTTTGATCACGCTTTGCGCGATCTTTGCTGGTAAGTAGCTCGATTATATTACGCATTTTCTTTGTTCAACCATAACTAATTTAAGCTCTATTCTTTTTCTCTACGTTATAGCTTTATTCGCTATCTTTTCGAATCATACTTTTTACGCTATAATTCGTCAAGTCCTATCGAAAATATTGTCACTGTATTTTGGAGTCATAACATTATGGAGATTATATTGTTTAAATAGTCCACGTTATATGTTTACTATTTTGAATATTTTCATTTGAGTATCGTGTTATGTGCTATAATCGCATGATACTCACAAAGATCCACTTATTCAGATGAATGAGATGAGTCAGTGCTTAACAATTACTATAGAATAACTTATGATTAACAAGAATCTGTACCATGTATTTTCAAATTGTTAAATATATATTCCTCATTCTATGATATTCTAAATTAAAATATTGGATGTATTGTTTTTAATTTACCCTTAAAGTAATATGATCGGAGAAATAAAAATTTGATTATATTATTCAATTAATTCTTACAGATGTTTTATGATTTTACTATGTACAATGATTATTATATTTGTTTCAGTATCCTCAGCAAGAGTAGTGATCACTGCTGAGGGTCCAGCAAATCTACACCGTTTAGGCGAACAAGAATGTACATGGGGACCTTCATATTGGTGTGAAAATATCAAGTAAGTATAGTAAAATATTATCAATAATGTTATGTTATCCATGATTTTTATCAAAAATCTTTTATTATACATTATTTGAAATTAATTTGCATTAATATTTCATTTCATAAACTTTTAATTTACATTAAATATAATATTTTAAATTGAAATGATAGTAAAATATTTTATTTTACACAAATGTAGAACTGCAGCAGGATGTAATGCAACTGCGCATTGTATCAAAACAATGTGGAAGGATATGAACGTACCAGAAGATAATGATAGTGTTTGTAATATTTGTAAAGATATGGTTCAGCAAGCTCGTGACCAATTAGAGAGTAATCAAACTCAAGAGGATTTAAAAGCTGTGTTTGAAGGAAGCTGTAGGCTTATTCATGTAATTCCAATTGTGAAAGAATGTATAACAATTGTAGATCAGTTTATCCCGGAGCTTGTTGAAACATTAGCATCTCAAATGAATCCATCTCTTGTTTGTTCTGTTGCTGGACTTTGTAATTCTGCTCACATGGACAAATTGTTAGTGGAATATGGACCTAAAGTATCAGAACCTAAAGTAATTAATAACTTAAATTATTTCTTTACAATAATATATATACTAAAATATATATATTATATAATAATATATACTAAAATATTCTTTTTTGTTTTATATACAAATATTTGTTTAAATATATTGTATTCCAGGCCACAGAAGTGAAGTCTCGATCTTTGGAAAAAGATGAATATGAACCTGATGAATGTTCAAAATGTTTCACAGTAGCAGCACATATGGAACATAAATTAAATAATACTCCTCGTGAGAAAGTATTTCAACAAATGCTTAATTTATGTGCAGAACTTGGTACTTACTCAGATGCTTGTTCAGCCATAGTCATAACTTACTTTGATACAATATATGCTCATTTGCAAGAAAATTTCAACGCTCAAAATATTTGTCACTTATCTGGTCAGTGTAGTGCTAAATTTCATAAACATGAAGATGCTGATAAAGTAAGTTTAGAAAATTTAAAAAGTAATATAATATTAAATATTTGAAATATTATGATTGAGATACTTATGAAAAATTGCATTTTAGATTTTAAAAGTAGAAATTAGACCACTATCGAGTGTGGGTATGGTTGATGTAAATGATGATCTTCCGTGCATGTTGTGTAAACAACTTGTTGGGCATTTAAAAGATCTTTTAGTAGCTAATACTACAGAAACAGAATTTAAAGAAGTTTTGAAAGGATTATGCAAACAGACTAAATCATTTTCTACTGAAGTATTATATTATTTATTAATTATATAAATAATTTATAAATATTTTAAATTATTAATCATATATATTTTTTTATTTAAGTGTCTTGCCATAGTCGATGAATATTATCCACAAATATATGAATATTTGACAAAAACGTTAAATTCTGATCTTGTCTGTCAAATAAGTGGAATGTGTCTTTCTTCAGGCAAAGCATTGCAGGTAAATGTTTTCTTGTTTAGTTGTACACATGCTTCTGACATAACTGCTATTTATAATTATTAATTAAAACATTTTATGTTAGAGTGACCCAATTTGGCCTTTAGTACCTAAAAATGTAGCTGAAGTAGGAATGCGTATTTTCCAAGGTGCAAATAAGAATATTGAACCTGATAATAATGAACAACCAAGTAAAACAGAAATTGAAGCAATGCAATTACCTATTGAAAGGCTAGTACCATTCCCTATGTCAGAGGGTTCATTAGATATTAAAGGAACAGAAAAGTGTGCATTATGCGAGTACATATTACATTTTATTCAAGAAACTATAACGAATCCTGATACAGAGGTAATAATTATAATAACATTTTGATATTTTATATATTTTACAATGCGATATTAGTATAAAATTAAAAAAATTATATAAACATAGGTAATGCTAGTGATTATTTTCAGGATAAAGTAAAAGAAGCATTAGGAAAAGTATGCAAGAAATTACCTGAATCTATAGCAGATCAATGTACACAATTTGTAGACCTTTATGGAGATGCTGTAGTGGCTATCTTGGCTCAAGAAATTGATCCATCTCAAGTCAGTATAAAAATTTATTTACATTTATGTGAATTATCTAATAAATGCAGTGAATTATAAAGTATCAGTTACAGGTGTGCCCAATGTTACATCTGTGTCCAAATGAAAAGTTGATGGAATTGTGGCAAAGTATTCCAACAAAATATATGCTTGAGGAAAAAAAAGACAAACCCACTTGCCCATTATGTTTACTTGCTATGTCTCAAATTTACGAAGCTATAAAAAACAATAGGACCGAGGTTACTAACAAATATTTATACATTTCATATATTTTAAATGTTCAAATATATTGTCATTAAATATTATATTATTCGTTATATTATTACAGAAAAACATAGAAAATCAACTGGACAAATTATGTGTTCATTTGCCACATAGTTTAGTAGAAGAATGTACAGATTTAGTTAAAGGTTATAGCAAAGAAATTATAGAATTATTGTTGGCAGATTTAACACCTCAAGAAGTATGTGTCTACATTAAATTATGTGATGCTTCAAAGAATTCTGGTCCAAGTGATGAATTTATTACTGATAAAGATGGTGAAATTTGTATGTAAAAAACATTTCTATTTATCACTTGCTTGCAAAAACTTTTTACAAATTAATAAAAATATTTTGTTTAATTTCCTACAAATATATTCTTATATATATATATTTCTTATTCTAGTAACTAATGAAATACCAAATGATCCAGTAAGTTCAGAAATATCAGAAAATGTAGGCGGTAGTCCATATTGTGTTATTTGTGAATTCGCTATGCATTATGTTGACAAAGTACTTGCTAATGAAAAGGAAAAACATAAAGTTGAAAAGGCAGTACACGATGTATGTAATCATCTTCCAAAGTCCGTTTCTCGAGATTGTAACGATTTCGTTAATAAATATGCTGCTACTGTAATTGATGTCATTACGAAAGATGTTAGTCCTAAGCAAGTTTGCACTATGCTTGCATTTTGTTCCGTATTTATACAGGAAGTGAAAGGTATACGAATATTAATTAATTATTTTTTATTTGAAATATTAATTAATTAAAATATTTTTCAGCTTCTGTAGAAGAATGTGCTATGTGCAAATCTATTATATCAGTAGTAGATGAAATTGTGGACCATCAAGACGTTGATAACAGCATTAGGAAAATAGTGCCTGAAGTATGTAAATATTTACCATCAGACACACACCACAAGGTAATTTGATCATATTTTTTGTTAAAATTTTTAAAATTTTTTAGAAAATAAAAACTTTTAATTATTTTTAGTGTATCACGCTTGTCAGTTCCTATGGAGAAAGCATAATAAATCTTGTCAAACAACGTGAACCTTCTTACAACATATGTGGTAAAATGGCTCTTTGCGCATCTAATGATTATTCATCAGTGTCGTTGGAAACTTCGCGAATTAAACGATCGTATGAAAAAAATCGCATAAAACATTGTACATGGGGACCTGTCTATTGGTGTTCCTCTAATGAAACTGCTCGCGAATGTAAAGTAAGTAAATATAATTAAATTTATTACACGTAAGCGATTTTATATCCACAGTCTTATTTAAATCTCTAATGTGTGTGTTAATGAAATGAAGTGAAATAAATGAAATCCATGAAAATATGTATATATTTATATATAGCATATATATGAGGTAATAAATAATATTCTTTTTCTTTTTCAAGGCTGTTGAGCACTGCAAAGAAAATGTATGGAAAGCCGATTTCGCTCCTCCTAAACAAATTACTTTGAGTGAGAAGGAACCTAATGTTTAAGTTCGTTATGAAAAAATAAATTGAACTATTCTTTTGATTTTTGCATAAGAATTTTTTTTTATGATATTGCATCGATGATATTTAATATTACTTAGTGTTTTATTGCACAATTTTCCTAAAATGTAACATTATGATACTATTAAAACCTTGACACTATTAAAACCTTCCAAAACAATATCCAAGTAAAATTTGTGTGTAGCATAGGGAATTTAGCAGTAAATCTAGAAATAAGCTTTTTACATTATCGCAAATGTATTGCAGGTATACAGTGTTAAGTTCATATTTTATAACAGTTGTTGTAAACTATAATATATAAAATATAATTATGATTTCATATGTATGTATACATACACTTAATAATTATCAATATACATGTTATTATTATTATTATTATTACTATAAATCTGTTGCATTAATGTCTACTGTGATAATAAAAAAAAGATAAACCACAAATTGTTTGTTTTTTGATAATCATCACTATTATATTTATTAATTTTTTTACTTTTAAAAATACAGATGTTCAAATTCTTAATTCCGTAGTTTTCGGTAATTCAAGATGTCGCTGGTGATTCATTCGATTGATCGATTAGTTTAGTTCAATCAAATCGATTATATTGTTGTAACGTACTTTTTGATTGAGTTAGTTGGTTTACATTAAGTCTGTGTCAAGTTTATAAAATACGTTGAACAAATATAAGAATAAACTAATTTTTCTTCTCTAATCGTGATGAAAAGTGAAGCAAGAAATTATAAGTGATTTCATACGAAGAAATATTTCTTGTAAGTATCTAATTATACTTATTGTGAAATAAACTGTTGGCAAATAAAATAACCAATACAAGTATTAATAAATAATTTTGCCATAGTTCATTCATTTATACTTGCTCTTAGCGAGTTACACTTGTAATTTTTTTCGTCTTGCTCATTGTTGTATGTAAAAATTTTTCATTTTGTCTGTATCTATGAAAAATATTCTGGATAGAAAAAATCAAATATTCAGGTTAGACTCTTTGTCGACTTTATTAGTTAGTAAAACTAAAGCTAAGAAATAAGATTTAAATACCTGAAGCTTAGAGTCAAAGTTGCCTAGATGAGACGACAATGCCTTTTTTTTTTCTTTGGCAAAGAGTACTATGGCTATTGCATGCCTTTTGTATTTATTTGTCACGTGTGATTTTTTTACAGATGTATTTTCCTGGGAAAGCCTAATTCTCTGGTTTTGGTGCTCCAAATACAAAAAAATGTAAGTAGATGTCTTTGCGTGTAGTACTTCAATTAATTATTTACAAATCATTAAAGTTTAAGTACTTTTAAAGTATAAAATAATTGAAAGTATAAAATTTTATGCGCAAGATGATACTTTGCGATAGGCAGATTTTTCCATTAAAGTATATTGTTTTTGAAAATGTGCTTTGATGAAGAAGTTGTCTCGTTTTCTTATAAATTACTATTTGTTAATCTTCTAAGACAGAATTACCTAAAGTAGATATTATAAATTACGAAATTACCAACGCTGATTATCGACTGTGTAAAGTACGGTAGATAACAAAGATACCTATCAATGTGTATATATCGACAATACGTCTGGACATGTGTTGCATTATTGCAATCGCAGATTGCACTGCAATTCATTTCATATATTGCACTTTATATGTATATTGTATTTAACTACAAATACTTTCAATTGTTTCTAATTTTCTCAACTTTGTTCCTTTTTTATATCACAAATTTAATTGCAAACAAACAATCTTAAATTATTGAATTATTAATAAAAAAAACCTCGAGTTTTTAATTCCATATATATTGTATACGTTTTTCCATTGCTTTAATAAATACTACGACGCCATTGTTTTACAATTTACGTTATATACGAATTGAAAGAGTATTTGTTGTCACTTTGACAAAGAAATTTCACATGGATGTGAAACTTGTACCCGGTGAGAGAAACTCGTCGTGTAAGCCTGGATTTTACCGATTCCCCTTGTTCGTTCTTTAAATTTATTCGGACGACGACCCAGCGTTGTTCGTAGAGATGTTACTGCGATATCGTAACGACAATACCGTTGGCAGTGCACAATCGTTTCGAACCCGGTAGATCGGGCTGCTGTACTTGTTCCAGCCTTCCGAGAAGAGAGTAGTTTTCGAACAATCTAATTTGTCGCGACACAGATCGTGCGTTACTGTCCGCTTCGATTGCTACGTAGCGTAGATAGGAAACTCGAAGACGGTTTAGGGATCGACTTTTGGTGAACAGGAAGCATTAAAGAGTTTCTACTTTTGTAGAGTAAACGCAACTGTAGTAACGTCGATTTTTATTCGAGGGCTTTATGATCGTTGAACTTTCTCGTGCATTTTCAAGAAATTATCGAACTTTATCAATAGCGCTGGAATTAAAGTTGAAAGCCTCGACTGCAGAATTTTTGCGATTTATACAACTTTTTCCGCGGTTAAATACGAGGTATTTTTACTTTTCGATTTTTAATGTCCGAACGTTTCGAATAAGATTATTTAATTCTCGATCGATCAGTTTAGAACAATTGAGAATTTTTCTGTTTAAAAGATCGATCTGATCGTATAGTAATTAGCCATCTCCTCGCAATCAAGTCGCACGAGAAAATCAGAAAATTTTCATTCATACGTACGCACGTCTGAACATAAGATTGAAATTCGTCTTGCCTTGCTCGCCTCTTCCGGCGAAAACTGACGAAACGAGGAAGAGGCAGGCGCAAGAGGGAAGGTCTCGGGTTGTCTTGTTCAGCACGTAGAGGCGTGACGAGCGAAGACATAAACCTGTCGGTCATGAAGGAGGGTGACTGGTTGTTACTCGAGTACATATGTATGCCGTATGCCCTGAAGAACGATGCCTGCGCCTTATTCGATGATTACCCAGTATTTATGAGCTCATTATCACTCGAAGAACAATAGGGGTAGACGGAAGAAAAACGACTAAAAGCGTGCATCGGTTGTGCACCAGAGTGTGCGACGACCAGTCATCACGTACTTTAGAGTTAAATGCTAATCTCTCTATTCAATTTCTAACCAGGAATTATTTTTACGGGATTATTTTAATTGAAAATGATTTACGATGTTGTGGACATTCAATGTTCATCGTGCGTTTGTTCCAGCGATTCTTATCTTTATCATTATTGGCTCCATTTATCTAGATTTGTCTGATCTGCAATTTCAAAATTTCTTTTTCCTTTTACGTAGTTTCTAACACGAATCGAATACTTCACCACCCACCTGCACTCATTGCAATAACCATCCACTAACAATAACCCACATACTGCACGAATGCCACAGCACAGAAATCCAAAGACAGAAATACGGAATCAACGCAAACATAAACCTGTCTTCCTCAAAATGACATACAAAGAGTACTAAAATACCTCAAAAACATAAACTACTACACTCATATCTAATGGCACCGTCGTCGCTAATGACCTCGCTGTCGATGCGACATTAAAGAAAAAAATAGAAGAAGAAGAAGAAGAACACGAATCGAATCTTCGAGTGGAAAGCGACTGTTTCTCTCGATAAACGCGTCAATAACGCAACGGCTCGACTAGAGTAGGCGGGTAGGTGGCGAGTGCGTTTCGTTCAGCTTTCAATGGCAGATAAATATCCGGGAGGTTCTTACACTTCCTCCAAGTGCGTTGGAGGAACGTTCGAGTTTCCTTGCGAGTTGCGTGCGCCGAGACGTGCGGGTGTTTGCCCACGCACGTACCGAGTAGTGGGCCCACGCGATTCCTAATACGAGCCGCGTCAGCTGCGTAAAGAGCCATAGTCCAGGCTCTCGCGTGTGGGATAGCCGCCGCGTACACCCCCGTAGCCTTTGTCCATCCAGGATAATTGTCCACGCGGCCGAGTATCGGCGTGATATTGGTGTCGGATTCCGCCACACCTTCGTCCATTGTAAATCAATCGGGACTGCTCGACGTAGTCGAAGAATCCGTCGAGCATCACAGGCGTTCTCTCTCTCTCTCTCTCTCTCTCTTTCTTTTCGCGCTTTTTCCACGCCTTTCTGCACCACTCCTGTGTCTTCACACTTTTTGAACGAGCGCGTTTGCTTCTGTTCGTTTTCTTTTCGCGTCTATTTTTGCCTCTCTTCCGGCGTCTTTCCTGTATTTTCCGCTTTTTGTGCACCCTCTCTGCGTCTTTTATTACATTTATTGCTTTATTTATGCACACTCGTCGCAGCTCTCCTCCATTTCCTTCACACTCTGCTTCTTAAATTTTTTCTACTTCTCTACGTTTTCTTCGCGTTTCCCGCGAATTTCTTTCCACCGCGGAAAGCAGCCACAAGAGGTGTAACTTAATGAATAAATAATAAATCAACCTGGGAACGAAGATACATGGCTTTGGTCGCCATGTCCGACCAACAAGAACTGAAAACTGGAAAACGAATCTTCGATCCTCCATTGTTGTGTCAACGTACACGTACAAGCGTACATACATACGCGTGCACACCTAACACCATCCATCGATAATCTGTCGATTTGTTTCCGACGTACATTTCACAAAAGTATTGACATAATGTACAACGTGCAAGGTTCAAGATTGAACCTTTATTAAATATGCATCTCTTCGTACTTGCACGTTCAATTGCCACTACTTAGATGCCACGGAATCAATCGACGATTTTCTTCCGCTTGACTCGTTCGTGCTCTCATGTTTACTCTGCCTTGGGTGTATAGCGATCTTTGACCATTGCAAGGAAATTACGGGATATTTCGTTGAAATGTTGAACGATCAGAGGGACCGTTTCTCAGGAGGGATTCTATCAGAGAGAAAGAGAGATACCGAACGTTTCACGGAACGATAAACTGTGGAAGTTTCGAGCAAATAAAGGTTAACGTTGGCATCGACGTCGGCGCTCGACGTAGGTGTCTTTCGTGTTTCGTGGCTGTTATCTCGCTGGGTCAAGCGAAGGGATCGTTGAATAAGTAAGTCCGCGGTTTCGCGTGAAAAGAGAGACTCGGCCGCTCTCGTTCGTGGAATTTTTATGGCAGCGGGGGCTTATTAGTTTCAGCGGCATTTTCAGTAACGAC